CAGGTCAGCCTAATGATGATGATAATAATCATCTCACTCTTCTTCGTGCTCACCACTACAGCATTTGTGCACTACTTAACCAAAGGGCAAAGAAAAACTGCTTATCAGCCCTGGGCTTCCAAGAGACAAGAGAAGCTTCTTGGGGTTCCTAGAGACATGACTTCACCTTAGATGCAGTGAAGTTCCCAATCTCTCCCAGTCTGAGCACAGGGCATGAAGGAGGGAGACACTGCTGGTTAACAGGAACCTAAGGAGAGTTTTAAATAACCCCTGAACCCAGCTGGAATGCACTGGATGATACTGCCAGATTTAGAGGGAGAATCTACATAAGATGAGGAAAAAAACCACACTGATTCCTGATACTTGGTATGTAACTGAGGCCAGCAGGAACCTGGAAGGGTTTGCAAAGTCTTTGAGAAAAGCAGCACCAGAGCAGCTCTCAGCTTGCACTAATATTAACAGCAAGGCAAAAGATGAAGCTTGTGAGCAGATCTGTGGTACTTACTCAAGTTCTGTCAGCAGCTGATGGCACCGACTCCCACTCCTTTGTGAGTTCTTCTCTTTACAAAGAAATTCAACAGGCATACGAAGATTCTTCACCTTCTGCAGCCAGCTCTCTGGACGTGCTGTCTGCACTTGGCTCTCCAGCTCTTCAGCACATGCCATTGCAGCCAACACATCCAAAACCTACACACACACGTGGGGAAAGTTAGCAACAGTGGCACTCCAGAATTATTAATGAGCCTTGTGCTCTCAGCCTGGCTTGTTACAGCAAATGTTCTGCTCCATACTCTTCATCATCACCCTAAGCTCTGGAATTCTCATGCTCCTGGCTCAGATCATTAGCACAGCCTATTAAGTGACCAAAAACAGGGCAAACTGTTTTAAAACTTGTAGTGACAACAGTAACACAACAGATTGTTCCTATATTGAGGATTCTGACTGAGCTTGTGTTTCCCACTTGACTATTGCTGACATCAAAAAGAGACTGAAGACAGCCAATTCAAGTGAAGACAGAGCTCTGTGCTAGGGCTGAGGATGATAAAAAGCCTGGTTGGTGACTCTACCATCTCTGGCTGTGGTGTCCCATGTCCCTCCTGGTCAGTGAAGTAGTCAGCCACCCGGGAGTGCACAGCCATGATCCTGGAGAAGTTCTGCAGGCGGCTCCTGAACTGATGGTAGCTGAGGTGGACCCAAGGCAAGGAGGGCACCATCTCCTCTCTCCTGGGAGACCTGGCCCTCCACTCCTCTATGCAGGAGAAGAATGCATTTCGCAGACACTGCAAGTGGAGAAAAAAGTTACCATCAAAATTAGAAAAAAAAAAAAAGGCCTTTCATAAAACATTTTGTACTGCAAGTCCCTGCAAAGTTCTCTGAAATAAGGAGATCAGTACTTTACAGAGATAGCCTTAAAGGATGTGTCAGTCTTTATGGGTGCTCCTATGGAAGTGCTTTCCTGAGCAAGGCCTCAGCAATTTCAGCAGCAGTTCAGTGTCAAGGTAGCTTTGTGGCTACCTGGCTATTAGTCTATCTCAGAGGGGGATTTTGGTCTGAGAAGACAAGGCTGATACAGAAGGGGATGTCCACAGGCATCATGATCTTCCCTCCATCCAAAGGCTTTCCAGCTCGTGTTCCAGACACTGACCTGCAGCTCCTTTATGGAGGACACACCAATGGTCAAGACAATGAAGTCTGTGACATAGCACTGGAAGAGCATCTGCCTCTCCTGCCCAGTCAGAGCAGAGATAAACTTTCCTAGTGCAGTTTTCTGGAAGATATCCACAAACTTCTCAGCTTGGTCTGGAAAACAAGAATGCAGAGAAAAAGCTGAGTATTAGGGAGGAGGCTGGGTTTGACACAGCTTCTACCCTAAAGAGACTGATACCTAATTCATCACTGAATTCATCTGATGTTTGCATGCACTGACTGCATACAGCAGTGCCCTCATTTACAGCACCAACATGGGATTTGAGGCCAGGCCTTCTCAGCCCAGGCACCAATCTCATATTTACAGCATCTCACCTTTTCATTAACTTGACTGCATACAGCAGTGCCCTCATTTACAGCACCAACATGGGATTTGAGGCCAGGCCTTCTCAGTCCAGACACCAGTTTACAGCATCTCACCTTTTCATTAACTCTTAGCATTTCCACAGCATTTTGAATACGAGGGCACAGAATATGTGAGGACCAATAGTGAGAAGCACCAGGAAAAGCTAACTGCACAGAGCTCCACTGGCTCACGTGAGCACAGAGGGATTGAAGGTGACTCCAGGGACACAGGTGGAGGCATGGTAGTGACAAGCCAGAGTTTACAAGGCAGGGGGATAGAGATTCTCCATGTCACAAGCTCAAACCAGGCTCTCACCTTCAGTGTTTTGGATGTATTGAGCTTCCAACCACAGGTCATCCAAGTACTCCTTTATCCTCCAGCTGAAGGGCATCTCATTCCCAGCATCGGCTGACACCACCATGTTGTTCTGCACCAGAATTATCTCTGGCTGAGAGCTAGGAGATTAAAAAGGTCATTAATGCACTGGGCATTTGCTTGGAAAACAGACAGCAGAGGCAGGAAGCTGCAGAAAGGAAGAAATTAGCCCTAGGAGGAGATGAAGGAAGGAAGAACTGAAGGACTCATGAATACAGCTCTTCCTGCCAGCTGGGTAGCAGCAAGACTTGGTAAGTGTCCCCTGGCACGAGGGCAGCAATGGCAGGAAACGGAGGCTTCAGGGGCTGGGTAAGAAGTGTGAGCATGCCAAGAGCTAGAGAGCCAAGCCCAGAAGTCCTGGGGAGAAGGAAAGAACACCTCTGAAGCCCCCGAGGCCTGTCCCGCTGCCTTGGGCACAGCACGGGGCAGGCACCAGCAGCCCTGGTCTCCTTGTGGAGCTAAAGGCAGTGCCAGCCTGCCCTCTGTGCTGCCAGCCCAGCCCTCCTGCTGCTCCAGGGCCTCACCTGTTCTTACCCACACCGTAAGGGACAGTCAGGAGTTTTGTGTCACTGAAGATGAACATCCACAGCCTTGTCACCCACTCAGCTGCCGGCCTGGCCAGCAGCTCCAGGTTGCCATTCCTGTCTATGACAGCAACCAGGAGAGCCAGGAATGGAGTGATCACGTGCTGGACTCGCTTCCACAAGGTGTGCCTTTGGGGGCAGAAAGAGACCAAGAAACCCAGAGGGAAGGTGAGCAACAATATCAGCAAGTCAGGAGGTGGTTGTCCTGGAGAATTGCTGACATATGCATGTAAGAAAGTCTTAATCCTGCCTTTGGTGGGGGGAAAAAAAATACCCCCAGTAAGACACCCTACATTTCTCTCACTGTGCCTTGCCTGTAACCCCACTGTTTCACTCAAAGCACTTATGCATTCCTGTCCCAGTACAACCCATTCAGCTGTAAGTCACCCTCCCTCAGGAGCCAGGAGAGGACAAAGCTGCCTTCAGAGAGCTTCCAGCACAGACTGGAGACTGACACTGCAGATATTCAAATTACAAAGAACTGCTGTCTCTGCTGCACAGTGGCCATTTACAGACTTCTCTTGGAAGCCTGCAGGTTACAAGCAGATACTGCTGCTGTCCTCACCTGAAGGTGCCTGCCTCCTGCAGAGCATTGAGGTTGGAAGCCTCCCGAAGCACCCAGTTTTTTGGGTGAAGAGAATTTTCTTCTTGCTTCTTCAAAAGGTTGGAGAGTCGAGCCTTTGTTATCTTCAGGAAAGAGGCTGGAAAACAACAAGGAACATGCATTTTCTCTTCTATTGGCACTGGATCCAAATCCAAGTATCTCAGCAAGCACAGCATTTTACAGTTGTTTCAATAATTAGCCAATCAGGGGGAAAATAAAACAGCCCCCAGAGCCAGCACAGAGAGAAAAAGCCACAGCCTGAACTCCAGGAAAGCTCTACAGCCATCACAGGAGTGAGACTGGAGCACAGACACACACTCCTGGGAGACTGCATGGGAGATCCACCTTGCCTACACTACAGCAAGGACCACAGACCTTTGGGACCCCCGTGAATGACCTTGTGTGTTTTGGTGGTCCCCTAGATGCTCAGGGATGCTACCTGCAGCCAGGGAGCACCTACCTTTCAAGTCATCCTCTTTGGACAGAAGGCCCAGGAGAATCTTAATCCGCTTTCTGCTTCGACTCAGATCTTCATACTGGTCCCTCAGCATCCCCACAGCACTCTGCACACAGGTCCTCAGCAGCACAGTGGTGTCCAGCATTTCACCCTTCCCAGGAACAGCAGCAAAACAAGTTCTTTACTCTTCAGTTTTACACCCTTGCCCCCAGACGCATCCCTCAGATTACTGCAGTGCTCTCTGGACAGGCCTGTCCCCCTGACACCCCTCCTCCCAGTCTCACTCTCATCTCAGGCTGCAAATCTAAGTTCTCCTTTTGCTGCCAAGTACACATTGAAAGGGTTGCAGAATTTGCAAAGCTGCATGCAACACAGCATCTGTATGGGGCAAGACTCCTGTGAGGGAAAACTCAATAGCTCAGGGAAAGAAGTGGAAATGATCAACATAACCATGGAAAATAGGCCCTCCCTAGGAGATCTTCAGGCACTAGAGGGGCAAAAGCCACATGCAGTCACCCTTGTACTGGGCATCCTCCAGCTGATGCTGTCAGATCATGAGCCAGCCTTAACATGACTGCAGCACAGTCTAGTCCACAGCCCACTTCAGTGTGGCTTCCAACACCTCTCAGAAAGCACCAACAGCTGGAGTGGCAGGCTCAGAACCACAGTTCTCAGCCTCAGGGTGCAGAAAGGAAACAGAAGCTTTTAGAATTGATTTTTGAAAATTGGAGTGATGAAATGGCTAAGGAATGAGAGGGCCCTTAGAATGGTTTACTTTAGCAGTGTTGATTTTGATTGGGCAGAGGGGGAGAAATTTGTGTCTGACCATTAACATTTGTGAGGCAAATAATATTCCTGATGGATTTCAGGTGAATGGGGATGCAGAAGGTGTACTGCTCTTCATCCATAGGTGCAGAGAGCCATGCTGACAGGTGAGAAGCAAACAGATGTACTCACCTCATAGACCTCTGCTCCTGGCCCTGGTGTTTCAACTTCCATCTCACTCTCCCCCTGTTCTTCTCCATTCACAGGCAGAGCTGCAACTAAGATGCAGAATTTTTATCAGAAAGTTGTACACTTCTGGATCAGTCAGGTAAGAGTTAGTTTAGTAACTGAAGCCCAGGACATCAGAGCTTCTGTCAAAGATCCATTACCACCTGCATGAGGGCTGCTGAGATCCACCTCTCTAAAAACATCTACAGCTTAGAGCTGTCAGGTTCATGCAGCAAGAACAGGAAGAGGCACGACCAGGAGCTAATGCACTAAGCTCCACCAGAGCCCTGCAAGGCAGTATATGCTGCAAGGAAAAAGGGTAAGAAAAAAGAGGGAAAAGTAAAAGTCTTTCCTAACCTTCCTATGGGTTTAGGAGAACAGATCTGTATTCACCCAAAGTGAGAGATTCTCTGGAGTGAGTCCTTGGCAGGGGTCTGGGCCACGCAGCGTCTGCTGCCTTGTGTGCCAAGACAAAGCACTTGTCATTGGTGCTCAACAGTGCAAAGACCATAGTTTTGTCAGAAGAAAAAGGGAAGAGTACCAAATGAACTTCATTGATGACCCAAAGTTGTGGCAAATTAAATACAAATGTAAGCTGGCAGCCATGTGGTGACCCCACCAAAAAACACAGATGCTGAGCAGCAAAAGTCCTTGGAAATGTTGTACCAGGCATAAGTTCTATCAGCACCAAGTCCAGGACCACATCTCCCCCCCCCCCCTACTGGCATAGCAAACCCCTCTGGCTGGCACAGCCAGCCTGCAGCTCACCTTTGGTTCTGCCCAAATCCTCAGAGAATATCTGGCTGATGGTGAGGTTCTGCAGGGCAGTCATGTCAGAGACCATGTCCTTGGATCTGCGCAGATCGTCTATATGCACCGACTGCCACAGGCCTAAAGACAGCACCAAAAAACCAGTTACTTCAGGCCTGCAGCCTGCTCTTCCAGGAGAGCTTCCCAAGAGTTATCACAGTACTGTGGGCTAGCAGTTTGCATTCAGAGTTCACTTGCTCTCACTTCTGGATGGAGAAAGGGAAAGCAGCGATTCATTGTGAACGTGCTCGTGCACACCACCTCGACTCTGAGAGCCCACCACAGAGAGCAGGCACCTTGCTGCTGAAAGCAGGAGATGGGAATACATTCTCAGGAGCCTCCTGAAGGACAAGCCAATGCAGTCAGCATCAGGTGTCTGCTGCTCCCCAGCTGACTAGAAAGAGAACTCATCTGTCAGTGGGCAAGGCAAGGTGCTCTCAGATTAGGACTCCAAGGTACTGATCCCCAAGGGTACCCCCTGAGGGTAAAAGCAGCAGCTCTGACAACCCACAGGACTCTGATTCCAGATTCTGAGCATTAAAAAGGGAAGGTGAACAAGAGACACGTTGCTCTGGTACGTTTGTGTGAAGCCAGATGATGAGAGGGGAGTGCCAGATGGCCAGACCCACCTCCATGGAACCCCACGTAGGATGTTCCTCCTTCCACCCGGGAAAGCTTCATAATAAAGTAAACAAAGACAGAGACTTCTCCCAGGTCCACTTTGTTGATTTCATTAACAACGGTGTATCTGCAACAAAGAGGAAATGCTGTTCACAGATCAAAGAGAGACAAAGGTTCACAGCCACAAGTCCTTCCTCTGTGAGGGAGGGAACACATCCCTCCCCTCAGGCAGCTGTGCTGAGCCTCCCACCTCAGCCTCCAGTGACACCCTGATCCTCAGCTCTTCAGGATTCTGCCACCAATGGCAAGAATTCAGACTTCAAAGGGGATTATCTGATAATTTGACCTGTCTTAGTTTATTCTGACTTGGGTTGCAAATTATTTGAAATACAATTAGTGCTTCTACACGGATTCCACTACAGAATACACAAAGGATTACACATTCCTGATTCCAAAGTCCCCAAAACAGCACTAATAACCACATAGAGCCAGGAGGCACCAGCAGAACTAGCTGGGGCCTTCACACTTGACTTACTTGGCTGAGGCGATGAGCTGGGCATTTTGCAAGCCATCTTCAAAGTCTGTCTGAATAATAAGGACTTTATTTCCTGATGTGGCATCAAGGAAATCTCTGAAGAGTGAAAGGGGATTTAAGAGAAGTCACTAGGAGTAAAACCAACACATTAGAGACTGTAGAAGCAGTCACTCCACATTAGCTTTGGCTGCTGCAGGCACAAGCCATTAAAACACCCAACCTACAGTGGTGGTATAACTTCAAAAACCCATCTGGGTGTGATGGAGCTGAGACAGTGTGCACTGAGCCAGCCCACTGCTCAGCACAGCCTCTTGCCTTTTCCATGTGCCTCACTCCAAACGTTCTGCCCACGCATTTTCCACCTGGACAACACCCTATTCAGAGTAAGACAAACCCAGACTCACCGAATACCCCTCAGGAATGAGTACTCTGTGTCAAACTGCTGCAGGAACAGGATCTGAGGCCTCTGAGCTTTACCCTGCACTTCCCTCTCCAGGCAAGCAGCGTCAGCGCTGGTGAGAAGCCTCGAGAAGGTGGTGACCTGGGAGAGCAAGGGGTAGGTTTGTTCTTTGCTCAGGAACTCAACAGGAAGGCAGTAGAGACTTACTCATCTGTGCATTCCCAAATGTTGCTAACTTGCTGCAGAGCTAGACTGCTCCCAGAAAAACCCCCCATTTATTTGCCCTGCCAGTAGGCAAATGGTCAGCATGGGCTGTTACAGCAACACGGGGCCACTGCTGGGGAGCTGGACATGACTCTGGGCCCTGCCAGAGATAGGGCAGCTGAGAAGGGCAACCAAGGCTTGGAGAAGCTTCTTGTGAAGCCCTGTTGCATGTCTTCCCTGCAGTGCTGTCAAGGAGCAGCGAGTCCAGCCCAGAGAGAAAGCCTGTTGTCTCCACATGAGGCAGGACAGGGAGAAATTCTCCAGCCAGTCTCAGCTGAAGTGCTTTAGCTTTGGTACTAGGCAAAACTAAACCAGAGGTGTTCCCAAGTAAAGGCCCATGAGATCTCTGGCTGTTTGTGGCTTAAAGATGCAAAAGAATTTAAGCCAGTTAAGACCAGAAGCAGACAAAAAGCGTTCAAAGGTTGCCAGTGACTCTTTACTATAGCCAGTTTTGCTGGCTGTGCACAGAGACAGAGCCACTTTCACAGCCAAGAGATGCACCAGCTGCCCAAGCTCACTGAAAGCCCCCCCTTGCCAGGGAGCATCAGACACTGCTTCACACTGCCAGGCTATTGGGTTCTTTAGGCTGCAAGAACCTGCCTGCTGCTACACCCACTCTGCACAGCTGGGCACTAAGGGGTGAGGCTGGTACCAAGTTTACTGAGGTGCAGCCACAATGCAGCACCAGCAGCACCCAATAAAACCCACAGTGCAGGCTGGGAGGGTTTTGGGAAGACTCTGAAGACACTCACCTCTGTAAAAACCGTTTGGTGCCCAGCCCCAGAGTGGACATGAGCTCGGAGGAAGTCTGCAAAGGACGTGTGGTGCTGGTGCCTGAAGTACACCTCTGCCAGAGAGCCTGCCAGGAAGGAGCCCAGCGAGTGGCAGTGCCGGATCACCGCGTCAGGGGTGGCACAGTTCAGCAGTGCCAGCTGGGCTTCTCTCTTCACACAGGACATCAGTTCACCAGCAGGACATGCTGGTCTCAGCCTTGCCGTGGTCTGTAGGACCACTGAGGCACAGGTATTGGAGTGGTAGCCCACAAACACGTCGGAGGGGCTGTATTTCTGCTTGCTGATGAAGTGCTCTTCTGTGTTGGCTGCAGCGAACTCACGCACCCACTTCTTCAGCTCTTCCACAGTCTCTCTTTGCCCCTTGTCCAGCACAGTGCCAATATCCAGGTAGTGCTTCTCCAGCCTGTTGATCAGTGGGATGGGGAAGTGCTTGTACACCACGTCCTTCTCCTCGATGACTATCAAACGGAACTTGGGGTGCACCCGGCACTTCACCCGGTGGGTGCCCAGCCCCAAATCAACGTACTTCTGGCCAGCGAGGTACACGTAGTACTGATTGAGGGCGTCGTAAAGGCTTTCATAAAGGTTTTGCAAGTTGAGGAGGACAACCATCTGGCCAGTCTCCATGCAGACCTTCACACGGTTGATGTTCCTGCATATCTGGGTATACTCTTGGTCCTTGGGGAAGCTAGAGCCAAAGATGATTTCTGGCTGTTGTCGGGCAGTAAAAAAAGCTTGCTGGAGGATCTGCAGTGCCGCGTAATTCTCAGTGAGAACAAGCAGGTACCTGCAGTCACCATCCTGAGAGCTGCTGTAGATGTTCTGTCCTATCAGCTCAATCCTGCTGATGTCGTGAGCGTGTATTTCTCCTTTTTCAGGTAGCTGTGAGGTGAATATTTCCAAGGCATTGACATCATCTTTGCCACCAAAGTTACGAAGAACGACTTCAGCTATGTCTTTAGGTGTCGGCTCCCTTTTGGAGCTCTTAGCTAAGGCAAAGAACATCTTTATGAGGCTGTAGTAGTCACGCAGACCAAAGAACTCCCTGTCCTGGGCCTTGCAAATATTTTCATACGCATCTGCAAAGTGACAGAAGTACTGTTCTATCTTCTGCAAAGCCCCTCGTGCTGAGGAACAAATCCCCTCCGCGCTTTTTATGAGCTCTTCTTTGCTGGGGTCACCACGGGAGACAAAGATGCCTCGATTCATTTTAGCAGGGTCCAAAGCCCAGTTGGAAATCCCAATGAAGCCAACCTTTTTCTGAGGAAGAGGGACATCATCTATGCATCCATCTTCCAAAAGTGGATGCAAAGTCTTCAAGGGCATTTTGGGAGAATCTTCTGCCAGCCCAATCTCATCCAAAACCACCACTGAGACATACTCGTCCAAGTTCTTCCCCTCCTGGAATCGAGCACAGTGCTTGAACGTGCCTATGATTCCCTCTGGCGTGGAGAGAGGGCTGCACTGAAAAGATACTAGATGGATCTGCTTCAGGTCCTTGAACAAATCTGAGGGAGCTGCTTGACCCTGCATAGCATCGGCCACGATGGTTTTTGCAAGGGATTTGGAGCTCCCAGGCTTCCCAACGAGAAAAAGAGGGATTTTCAACTCGATGCAGATGACCATCATAAAGACATTTTCCTTCAAGGCCAAGTTTCTTGCTATGGTATCTCGGAGGTGCACACCACTCAGGAATAAGTCCTGCACCAGGGAGATCTCTTCCAAAATCTTTTTCTGGGTATCATAGGGTTTCGGGAGGACCTGACTGATGGCACTTCTGTACGCCTCCTTCCTCTCCAAGGATGCGTGATAGCAGACCCCGACTGCCAGCACCAAGGACCAGATAATGGTGTTTCTCTCAGTGGTGCTCTTGGGAGCTCTCTTCTCAGTAAGGTACTTCTCCAGTTCTCTCAGCAGGAGTTCACTACGGCTGTGAAACCACTTGAAGACTTCCACGCAGCGCTCCACATCCCGCAAGCTAACGAAGCTGCACTCGTCGTCCCTCTGCCTCATGTACTGCTGGGAGGCAAAGAGCACCTCTGTAACCACCTCCAGCTCCCCCTGCCCCATGGGCACCTGCTCCCGCACCCGCTGCACGATCTGCTGGATGTACATCTTCTCAGTGATGCTGTTCAGCTGCCCAAAATCCCACACTAAGGGGATCATGCTGGGGGGGAGGGCGTGGACGCGGTACACGAGCTGCCTGAGGGGAATAGAGCCAAGCTTGTCCCTTGTCTCCTCTGCCCTGACTCTGTAGCCCAGCCCAGCCAGCTCCAGGCGCTGGATCATCTCCGGCGTGTGCTTACGGTAAGGGTTGCAGGCTGCTATGATCCGCAGGCCAGAGCAGGAGGCCAAAGGCTTCCCCTGCACCGTGTGGTCACACAGAACCTCCTTGATGCTGCTTATGGCCTCTGTTGTGTTGGCTTCATCGAAAAATAGGACTGTGTCCAGCCCATGCTGCTCCTTGTTGATTTTAGCAAGGGCTTCTGCTTCTCTGATCCTCTCATAAATCATCTCTGCAGTAGTACCTCCGTGAACCTTCACAAGCTTCATGTTCTCTGCCTCTATGCAGCTTCTGCGTAACTTGCACAGGAACTTTATGAGCCTGGTTTTCCCACAGCCAGTTTCTCCCATGATGACAACCGGGATGTTGCATCTGAATCGCATCTCAATCGCCAAGATTTTCAGCACATTGTCTGTTGTGAGTTCGTAGGTCTCATCGGGGTCCACCACCCAGGGGATCCCCAAAACCATGCAAAGCTTCTCCAGCTTCTCGTGACGAGGCAACGTGTCAAATGAAATGTTGAAGGGAACTCTCTGAAGAAGCAAACCTTTGTACAGCCGTGAAGTCATGACGTTCTTCTTGATAATGTTGCCATTCAGAGGATTAATGGCATCCACGCCATGACTGCCACTGCGCTGGAGGTGGAAACCAATGAATGTCATGGACACACGGTCTTCATTGAAAAACAGGTATGGATGAGGCTCAGATTCCCACTTCTTCCGGATGCGGAAGGGGAGAAGATCTTCTTCCGCAACGTTGTCCAGGTTGGAGAACTGCCTTCCTGTACTCTGATCAGAAATATTCAGAGAGGGCGTTGCAAAATCCCTCGCCATTAAAATCATGAAGGTAACAACAAAGTTCTTGAAACCCTGCAGAGTGTCCTGGACAAAGTCAGGATTGCAGAAGACAGAAGCTTCGCAGTCTCTCAGCTGAATGTTGAGAAACCACGTGAAGTTTCGGAGCTCTGCCCAGGAGGGATCCGTGACCCCGCAGTGCAGGAGGAGCTGCTGCAGGCACTCTGCTGGGCTCCCTTCCACAGAGTGGCCTTCGTAACAGAAGGTGTCCAGATTGTGCCCCTGGTCAAATCTTCTCAGATACTGGAAAGGTCTCTGGAAAGCCTCGCTACGAAATTCCTCCTCATCCATTCCTGGGTCTGAAGCGTCCCCACAGTGCTTCCCAAGTACCTGCATTTCTAGTAGTTCCTTGGGAGACCTGCACGTCACTTTAGGGAACACATCTAAGAAATTATACTTCTGGCTCGCAGATTTTCTTTTCTGGGAGGAAAAGAAAATGTCATCACAAACCTGCAGCCCTAATTTTCAGGTCGTTTAGTCTGTTCTTGACAGTATTCCTGCCTAAAATACCAGCCCTGAGTTACAGCAGCCAGCCTATGCATCCACAACACTTTTCCCCCCACCCCCCAGTGCATCACTTCTTCCACTAACAGTGCATCACAATAATCAATCCCATTGCCTCCTACAGTCTCCTTCCTGTAGCTTCAGCCCTTTCTTGGTGCTGCCTCAAAGAAAGCTACACCCAAGAAACAGTCACTGTTTATCCCTGTCACTTCTACACTCCACTCTTACAGCTGCATACAAATATTCAAGCACTTTCAAGCATGCAAATTAACATGAGGAAGATTAGATTTTGCATTTTTATGCTTCCTGTGTTAGTGGGACCAATGAGGCTTGAACTGACAGGCCTTCAGAAGTCACCAACCCAAGAAAACCACAATGTGTCATTTACTGTCTGGTTTTCATATCATTGTGTACAACTCCAGGGACTTGCTTAGTGATGGAGACTCACAGCACACCCCAACAGAAAGCCAGAATTCCTGTGGCACGTTTACAGTTAGTCTCTACAATTCAGGTGCAGCTGTATACAACTATATGTGCAAAACAACCTAGAAATTTAAAGAATCCAAGTCTTGCTGTGTACATACATGTCTCTCTGCTTTCTCTGGCACTGCTGATCCCTCAAGGATTTCAATGATGTACAAATGGCACTTCTGTCGCAGCCACATATTCCCATTGTCATCTGCCAGATACTGCAAAACCAACAGCTTGAAGAGAAACTCTGCAATTCCACTTTGGACCTGCCACAGGGAAAGACAAAGGCATTTCCTTTTTATTGACTCATCACAACTTCACAGAATCATGAAACAGTTGAGGATGGAAAGGATCTCTGGAGGTCATCTTGTCCAACCCCCCTGCTCAAACAGGCTCAGCTACAGCAGGTTGCCTAAGACCATGTCTGGTCAAGGTATTTTTATCTCCAAGATCAGAGACTCTCCAGCTTCCCTGGACAACCTGTTCCAGAGTTCAACTGCTTTGATGGTAAAGAGCTCCTTATGTTACTTGTACAATAATTAGAAGACATGTCTTAAGAGAAGTGGCTTACTAAGAAAAAAGCTTTAAAGAAAACTTCTGCAAGGATCCACACAGGAATTCTAGGACAAGGCAGCTGTGGGAGGGATGTACTTACTGAAGAGGTGATATCAAAATGGAAGATCATGGGCTTTGTCTGGTGTTTCCTCTTCAGAAAAGGCAGGAGAGATTTTAGCACTTTATTTTCATCTACTTCTGGTTCAATAAGTCTGATTGTTTTCAGAAGTTTTGTATAGTCAGGCTGCTGTCCTTGCAGTCTCTCATGTAGCCTCTTCACATACAGAGATTTCCCTGTTATCATAAAAAACACCAAAGGAATCCAAGCCATCAATAGTGAAGCTATCACATTAACATCAACAGAAGGAAGTGCTGAAGCACCCCATCCTCTGAAGTCTCTGAACCTTCCTAAGAAGCATGCCAGAAGAATTCCAGAACAGTATTCATACACACATTTTCCTGCAAGCCTATTTTCATCTCAGGGGGTCAGACTCAGCCAGCTTTAGCTGGTTTATGTCAGTGACTGTATTGGGCTGAGCTGATTTTCCCATTGCAGCCTCCTGGTGTTAGAAGGGAGTTCAAAGGGTGTTGAGAACAGCCCTGTTGTGACTGCCCCTGAGCAGTGCTCACACAGCACCAAGGCTCTTTCTGACATTCCCCCCCCCTCAGTGGGATGGGAGGGCAGGGGCTTGGGGGGGACAGAACCAGGACAGCTGACCCAAACTGACCAAAGGGATATTCCAGAGCATATGACCTCAGCTCAAGTGTAAGGCTGGTACAAAGGAGGAAGGGGATGACACCACTCCTTTGTCCTTCAGAGCAACTGCTACATGTTCTGGAGCCCTGCTTCCCAGGAAGGGGCCAGACAGCACCTGGGGATGGGAAGTAGAGCATAAAACTTGGGTAGGCTTTTTTTTTCCCTTCTTCTCTTCTGTGTGCATTGCTTGCCTTTGCTCTTCAATTAAACTGCCTTTGCATCAGCCCACACAGGTTTTATTTCCATCTTACTTTCCTCCCCCCTTTTGCTCTGCTGAGGGAGAGGAAAGGAGGAGGGTGATAAAGTGGCTTGGTGGGCACCTGGTGCTCAGCCAGGGTTAGCCCACCACAGGGATGCCAGTCAGAGGCAGGTGTCAGGCTGGCAAGATGAACCATCTTCAGAGATGCCCATCTGGAGACAAGATGCACTGTCCTTACACCTCTCACCTCACACCACTGGCTACAATCTGAATCATTCTTTCTGACTAAATGCTTACAACTTGGACACTAAACCTGGCGAGGTGAACCCCACTCTGCCTTCCACCACTCATCAGACCCTGCTCTGCATGGACACCTTACCCACACCAGCTCTTTTGGAGGCCACAATCCCAACACACACGTTGTCCTTGAACACAGAAGCGGCCGAGCTGGAAGGCTGAGCGACTCTGTAGTGGTGCTGAAGGTACTGCTGGATTTCAGCTAGTGGCCTCTGGGGTATCATGTGCACTTTGTACTGGCTGAAGACAGAGGGCAGGTAGCTGTGCTCCCTCTCGCAGTTGCACAGGATGATGAGGTGGTAGGAGCTGTTGTAGTGCTGCAGGCGCCGGAACAGCTCCTCTGCTCTGCAGCTGACATCATAGCTCAGCTCGTCTGCATACAGCATGGTGTAAATCTTCTCTCCTCCACCGCAGGGAATGAGGCACCTCCTGAGGAACAGCTCCACCTGCTCAGCACTGGTCTGAGGAGTGCACAGGAGAACTTCATCGAAAGTGGGAAGGGGCTCGTCGGGGCTGTTCATGTAAATAGCCAGAGCAGATGTGAGCACCTCAGAGCGAGGGCAGGTGATGAGGTTGGGCTGACCAACATACAGAAGGTCCTGTGGGAAGTCCCTTGTGACACGCTGTCCCTCCCAGCTGGCCAGATCCTCCAGCCACCCACCGAGTGTATCGATATCCAGGCAGTTGGGAAGGAGGGAGCACATGTTGCACATGTAGCACTCCCAGATGCACACCAGCTGTGCAGTCAGGTCCTCCTCTCCATCCAGCATCACCTGGAAGTCAGAAATTACCTCCCTTGAGACGTAAGGCACCGCACTGCTGGAGGCTCTGAGGACGTCCTGCTGGGTGCAGTCGCGCTTCAGGAAGGAAAGCATCATCAGGGCATCCTGGCTGGGCTCCTCCTGCCCCAGCTCTGTGCACAGGTAAACCAGCTGCTCAGCAGTGTAGTAGTTCAGGTAGAAATACTGGGATCGTTTTTCACACATGAAGCTTTTCCAGCTCTCCAGGAACCCCTCCATTGTCTTGCAGAGACCTGGGAGCACAGCTGCCGTATTCCCCTGCCCCTCCAGCGCTGGGATGGCTCCCACAGAGAAGTCCATGAGAACACAGGACTCCCTCTGGGCTGAGCAGTACACGTGGGCAAGCCAGGAACGGAAGAGCATGTTCCCAGCTGAGTACAGGTCTATAAAGGCCTGTGCAAGTCTTTGGACATTGGAAAAAACCTGTGTGAGGAGAGAGGAAAGAACATCCTAAGTTGATTTACCAAGACAAGTCCCAGTCCTGAAACCCCAGGAGAGACTTTCAATCGAAATAAAGGCTTTGGTCCCAAGCCAGGTGTGTCAGGCCTTGTACAGTAACAGATTTTCTGTGGCTTTTTAACAGCAGTATCCCCAGGAAGCCAGCAAGGAATCCCCAGCTAGCTACAAAAACACAGCAGCTCTCACAGCCAGGAGCTTCCCCAGTGGAGCCAGAGGATGAGGGTGTCAGTCCACTGTCAAGCCTCCAGCTTAGTTCCTCCTTAACTGTGAGCCAAAGAGGCAGGAACATCAATCTGCCTGCTGCCACTGATGCCAAGCAACTCAGCTGTAAACCATGGTCTTAAAAGCTGATGTTCAAGGTAAAATTCAACCCCAGCTTCAACATCAGTAGCCCGCTGGGTTTGAAATCTGACCTCAGAGAACTTCTCCACTTCCAAGCCTTGCTCTCCCTTTGCTGACATGAGCATCAGTTTGTTCTGCAGTTCACGGAGGTCTGCCAGAGAGTATTTCCATGATGCCTCATCCCAAGAGCTCCCCTGGAGGGTGAAGTGCAGGACACTGTCCAGAGAAACCTGCCAGAGAATAAGTCATTAACGCTGATGTGCACTGAGGTTGTGCTCCTGAGGCAGTGCTAGGACCAGGAAGGGGAGCACGTGGGGACCAGCAGTCCCAAAAAAGGAACCGTGGAGCAGGAGAAAAGCTACAGCACATTTCTGACAGTCACTAAGATGGCAGGAGGGGAGGGGACACCAAGCAGCCTCACCTTCTGGCCATCAACTGGTGCTCTAAGGATATACACTCCTCTGCTGTTGATGGCAGCTGCCAGCGACAGCGATGACAGCTCCACAGATCCATGGCTCTCCTTCACTGTTTTCAACCACTCCAAGTGTTGAGCTGAAGCACGCTGTGGAGAGAAGACATGGCACTGCCCTGCTCACTCTGACTGGGCACTTCTCCCAGGGTCACATCAGCGTGCAGGACAAAGGGCCTGGGCTGGCCTAGGAGCCTGAGGATGGGGCAGGAAGATGGGAACGAGCCCTGGCCCCAGCCTGCACGGCTGTTCTGCCCCAGCACTGTGGGAAGCCACTCCCATGCCTCCTGCTATAGAAACTTGCCCTACTGCAAAGCATCAGGGAAGCTGCCAGCCATCTGCCTTCCACCTTCTGCATCATCACTCCAGCTCTTGCAGGAGTGAAGCTACACCACGTCACAACTGAGCCTCAGCAGTGCCCTGAAGAAATCTGTGTGACAGCAGCTACAGCTGCTGCTGTGAATTTTCTGTGCCACAGATGTTTTTCTTCCAGCAACAAGAGCTGCTGTGGTTTCCCCACACAAGGGCAGCCTGCCCAGTGCCAACCATCTTCCAGCCACACTAGGAAGGCAGAAACGCACGAGGACGCAGGGAGGACCTGCTCCAGCAGAACTCACCAGCTTCTTGGGCAGGTTCTCATCACTCTCCAGGGCTCGCCACAGCTTCTTCAAGCAGTACATGAAGTCCTCAAACCCTGACTCTTGCCTGAGCTCGTAGAGCAGGGAAGAGTAGCCGTGCACAGTGTCATGGAAACACGCCACGCGGTCCACGTCCATGTCGTTCTCCCCAGCAGAGATGGATGCCAAGTCTACAAACACCTTCAGCTCATTTATGTCTTCAACGAGATAAAACACATGAAGGGACAACAAATGAGGCAGCTTTAAGGCAATTCCACTTCACCACCTTTTCCAGACAAGGCAGAAGGACTGCCTGTGAGCAGCATCTCCTGTGCAACTTCCCTCCACCCAGCCTGCCAAGCACCTCAGCAGGCAGGAACAGCCTTGGCCATGGCTTCTCCCAGCACGGCCCCCAACAGATCTGCAGCCAGGCTGGAGGCAGAGGGAAGTGTCCCTGTAAGGATGGAGCCAGCAGACAACTCAGACCCTGTTGAACAGGCATTCTCTGCTCTCCTCAGTAAATAGCCACTCTGAACAGAGTAGCAGCTACTACAACCCCCAGCCTGAGCCTGGCTGCTGTGTGCTGCACCACAATCCAGGGACTGGCACGTTTCAAGGGACCAATTCACAGCACACTCCACACCAACACACTGAAGCAATGCTTCCAACTACCAACACCAGAAGCTGTGAAGGCAGACAGCAGATGGGTCAGGGACACAGCCTTCCTTCTGCCCCCACACAAACCACCCCCCCTTCTAGTACTGTCTGCCCAACTCCCAGGTGAGCAGCACACACCTTTCAGTGCCTCCCTCACCCAGGAGACAAACTCCTTCTGCTGGGCCAGCTCCCTCAGACACCCACGACGGTTCACAGTGATCCCCTGCATCAGTCTCTTGGCATGCACAAGCTCAGGGCTGATGGAATCCAGCTTTTTTTCCTTGTAGGATTTAAGCTTTTCTGTCTACGAAACAAATGGTGCAAACAAACGTTCAGCCTGGAAATGGGAATTACAACCCATTCTACAGCAGGGAAAGGAAAGCCCTCTGCAAAGCCACACACCCAGGAGAGGAATACCACCTTCCCTCTTTTAAGGAAGGTCAGACAAAAGCACTTGGTTTGAACACTTAATTTTTATCCCAGCTAAGCATTTTGGGACAGGGAATGGCTTTTGACAGTCCTGGATAGACTTGCAGGAAGGTTCAGATTTATCCAAGCTTTCTAGCCAACATGCTGACAATAGAGAGTTGAAGTGGATACTTACTATGTCCAGCAAGTTTTCCAGGATACTGAAGTCACCAGAGAGGTTTAAACTCTCTTTGACATTGGCAATGATCTTCACAGCATCAAAAATTAAATGCATTTCATGGTACTGCTGGATCTGCTGAGCTCGCCGATCAATCCAGCCTCTGTCTTCCCCAGGTCTGAGCTTACACATGATATTTAGTTCAGCTTTGATATCTTCAGGATGATTTATAAATTCCTGAAAAATTTTATCAACTGCAGCAAGTGTGAGGCTTCCAGACTCGAGATCATCATACAGCCTTTCATAGCTCTCAAAACAAGGACAGATTAGACTGCTGAAAACATCCTCAAGGTCCAATGTACCATCACTGGTGTCCTCGTACTCCTCCTCCTCTGAACTTTCACACCCCTGTCCTGCCTTCTGTGCAGCTTTCTCCCAGAACTGCTGGAAGATCAGGCTTTCCTTAAAAGAGTGCATTTTCTGGGCACATTCTTTCAGCTTTGGGCTCAAGCTGTAGTAGGTCTGTAGGGGACTCTTTTCCACATTCACAACTGCATTTAGTCTTTTGGAGCGAAGATCTTCCGAGTACTGAGACGCCACTTCACCCACATCCACTTTAAAACAGAGAGACAGATTAGAGAGAGATCAGATGTCCAGCCTGTGTCCAGCTCACTTTGCCCAGTCTGCCAAGTCACAGAAAGCTACTGGGCATGTGGACCCCTACAAACAGCATTTGATGCATAAGCACACACTTGATCCCCCAAATGCTCTGCGTTTACTTCCTCCACCCCTCCTCCTCGCTGTGGTTTAAAACAAAACCTGTTTACAAAGCCTGGTTGCTTTCAAAGGAAGTTCTGTTTTCCAGAGGTGCCACTTTCCACCTGCTCCCCCAGCACACTACCTTTCACAGAGGCCTGCACCTTCCTGCACATGCTCAAGAAGGTTCCTATTGCCTTTTTCTCTTCTCTGAGCAGCGTTACTTCCTTTTGCCTCCTCCGCAGCAGTTCCTTCAGCTCCCTCAGGCATAGTTCTTTGTGTTCACCTGGCAGGTGCTGGCACTCTGAAAGAAAACTCTGCTGCAGTCACCAGGCAGATACTCTCCACCCCCCACACCCACAACTCAGGTTAGAATTTGCAGAGTCACCGACACCACAGTGAGAGACGGGAGCTCCACATAAAGAACAAAGGCAAGGGCAGCGCTGCTAGCTGCTGAAGCACCTAATTAGCATTACTAATCACCGAAGCAGGTTAACAAAGCAGGCCTTGATGACTCCAATGATGCCCTAAGCCAACACCACCACCTTCGAATGGTGCTCTTACTTATCTCCCAGATAGAGGTGAACTGTCTCTCATGCTGGAAAACCTCTTCCAGATGTTTCACAAGGATACGCCCTTTCTGGATGTCATCGGTGACGCCCATAAACACAGAGTCTGCTGTGGCCATGACATTCTTTGCTTCATCTGTAAGTTTTTCTAGGAGCTTTTTGTCTGTTCCTGTTCCAGAAACAAAGTATGTAAAACCTAGATCAGACCTGCCTCACAGAAACCAGGCAGAATTAACAGCTATTCAGTGTCTTGATGCAGAGTCCTTCCACTTCCCATTCACACTCCTGTCCTGTGAATTCACACTACTCTCTACCACCTCATATTTTTCTGAAAAGAAATAGCCAGGAACTCAGGAGAACAATTCAGAAGCCTTCTCATGGAAAGCCCATCCTCAAAGCCTGTGGAGGAAACAATTTCAAACCACTCACACAGCAGTTTTGCATTTGTGTGTTACAATAACTTATTGGAACTGCTCAGAGAAAGTTGTTCTACAAACCCACTTGATCTACAGGTTCAGGAGTCCAGTACAAATCCTGAGTAGCACAAGAGGAATAAAAACTCCCTCCTCTTTAGCCCTTCCTCTCCAAACCCAGGCTGAATACCTTGAGCTTTGAGATGGGGAACAAAAGAAGAGCAGGACAACTTTTGTATATTTGCTGCTCTGCCGAGTGGGAGTGGTGAGGCAGAGAACAGCTCCTCATAGAGTCCTATAGATATCACTAACAGACATACCATTAAAGCTGAAGATGTGTTTGATGTCAGGCCATGTAAGCACGTGGTGGAAAATCTCATCAAAATCACCCTCAGACTGCTCACTCTTCATTGGCCACGACTTCACAATAATAGCTGATACAAGCTGGCTGAACTGACTCAAGTTGTAGGAAGAAATCTTCTCAAGGAGGTTGCTCTGAGTCTGCACAAGACATACAAGACAGAGGAACATGGTTTGGATTACACTGTGTCCAGCTTTGTCTTGGAGTCAAGAAATTGATGTCAAGAAATCACATCTCCAGTGCTGAGGCACATTCAAAAGCTCCATGTGACATGCCCAACACCAGAAGCCACGACAACAGAAGCATTACAAGTATTTTTCATGGACCCTTTAAAAATGGATCTTCATTTCCTGATTTCTTGACAATTTTTCTTCTTTATTTGCTGTTGGTTCAAACTTAAAATAATCCACAGCAACTCAAGTGGTGGCAGACTGAACATACAACTCTCCTCCCCCACAACAACCCTCCCTGGACTATGGCACAGGATATCTATGGAACAGGGAATTTGACTACTTTTCCTGCCTTGAGGGAAGACAATACCTGGCAAGCAGCAGTGACAGCCTCTGTGGCACAGTTACAGAAGCACCAGCCAATGGAAGAGTCAAGTTGCTTAAATCTGGAGTGCTGACAGCAGTAGGCTAAGATTTGGTTAACTGGAGGCTCCTGTAGGGCAAAAGGGAGATTTCTTATTAACCTAAAAGCTTCCAAAGTGCTTCTCCTGAAAGCATGAAGGAGTGCTGCTGTTAAGATAATAAAAGGAACAGAGTTGAAGATAATTTCATTTTCCTAGTGGAGGCAAGAATGAGCCCATTTATCAGGGCCTGGGAGAAAGATGAATACATGTAAATGCTTGGAAAATCTTTTAGATTGTTTCTGTCTAAAATGTGTGATTACTTAAATATGCCTCTCTCCAATCCAAGCCTCCCCCCTCCCAGAAATACTTGTTTCCTGATTATACCATGAAAATCAATGGCTTTAAGAATTATGCAGCTGATGTAGAGAGGAGATAAGGAGATATCCCAGCTCAGTTTAGAAAGGACCTGCACATCTGGGAGCCTGGACAACACAATTTGTGTTCAATTAATTAAAAGAGACAAGCACTAACTTTGCTTCTGTAAGTCCTTGGGTGCTTAAACCCACTGTTTCTTAAAACCATAGGGGTGCTAAATATGCTCAAAATGGACTATTTCAAATCAGGTCCCAGGCTACCAGCAGACCAGCACCACAGCCAGGCCAGTGGAGTCTCTGACACCAAGAATACAGCACAGGATGTTTTCATGCTCAATTTTTGAGAACATTGTTTATAACAGCACTGACAATTTTTATGACCAAAGCCCCAGTGTTTTCATGTGCCCATCAGGCTCTAGAAGCTATCCTCTAAGCACAGCAGAAGACTGTATCAGCTCTGAACTTGGCCCACCAGCACACACTGCCTGCCTGCAGTCCCCTCTACCTGCTGAATTCTTCTCTCCAAATCTCCAAGTAAAGTCTTCTTCCACCTCTATAACAGCAATGACAATTTTTATGACCAAAGCCACAGTGTTTTCATGTGCCCATCAGGCTCTAGAAGCTATCCTCTAAGCACAGCAGAAGACTGTATCAGCTCTGAACTTGGCCCACCAGCACACACTGCCTGCCTGCAGTCCCCTCTACCTGCTGAATTCTTCTCTCCAAATCTCCAAGTAAAGTCTTCTTCCACCTCACAGTGAACCTTTCATCTGGAAAGCTGATCTTCAAAAATTCATCCCAGGCCTGCAGGTGAGAAGCAAACAAATCCAAAATATGAAGTGCTGAGATTTAAGACTCACAATAAGGAATTAAAAGAGCTATGGTGAGAAGAGGCTCCACACTCCTCAGCCAGGCTGTGGTCCTTTCAGATGTCTCCATCCAGGAGGAAAACCAAAAACCACCAAAACACCACACTTCCAGAGCTGTAAAATGCACCTTTAGGCCCAGACAGTGCTGAAGTGTCCCAGCTGCTAAAGGAGACATTTGGAGGAACCACTTCCACCTTGATACTGGAAACTGTCCTAGGGCAGGATGGGAACAGAGCTAATGAAGTGCTGGGGTTTAAAGCATCAGCCCTGAATGAGGGTGGATATATGGATGATGTCCACACCAGGCAAGAAAGCCCCTCCTGACTGGTTTTCACTCAGGGTGTGGCAACTGATGAGGAGATCACCTTGGAGGTGGGGCAAGAAGCCACCTCTTTAAGAGCTGACCCTGCTGGCAGTGGGGCTGGGAGCTGTCTACACAACAGACATGCTGTGTGGGGACAGATTCTGGTTGTCAGAAAGGCTCCCCAGCTGTGAATAGCAAGCTGAGTTCCCAGGACAGGGGGAGAAAGATGAGTCTGTGCTACAGAATTGGACTCATGGCCTGGCTACTTGCATCTCCCACAGCTTGGCTCCTCCAGCAGCTCACTCACATCTTCACATCCTGCACAGTGGCCAAGGGCATTAACTCATTCCTCCCTCCAGTGGCCCAGCACCTTGGATCTCTGGCACATGATGTAAGAGCAGAGGAAGGAATCTGGCTGTTAACTTGCCCATTAATGGCAATATCCTTCTGTGTCAGGCAAGCAGTCAGCAAAAGAGCTACTCAGGCTGCAAGGAGCTGCTTTGCCTGCTGGGAGGCCTGAAGGACACTCACTAGGACAGACAGGGTGAACAGGACAACAGCTCCAGCAAAACACCAACAAGGTGCAGCTCATCATCCCAGCAACACATCTTGGAACAGCCAAGAAAAAGGAGAAATAAGGTGAGCTGAGCAGCACCAATTACAGCCCTCTGCTGTTCAGCCAAATAGCATTGAAAACAGTTTCTCAGCTTGTAGTCTGTCCTGCCTGTCTATTCCTTACCCAGCCAGAGCAGCTACAGTTGTCAGTGAAGAGCCATTAGACTCAAGACAATATGGTTAGCTACAGTAAAACACCTTTTTATTCACATTATTAGAAAATGACAAACCTGAAGTTCCCAATTAAAAGAGAATGTCACATGCTCCACATGTTCTTTCAATAACTTCTGGTTTAAAGTATTTCTGAACCAGGTTCGAGTGTTTGTCAGAGCTTCACTGAATACTTCTACCCCTGGAACTTCCTGCACAGCACCTCCTGGGACCTGTCACACACAGAAAAAGCACAGCAGTTCAAGCAGGAGAGCAACACAAATGTTTTAAATAACTGCTTCTAAAAGAGAAGACCTAAATACATCATCCAAAGCACAAACATGCCCACCACGACTTGAATAAAGGATAGAGGGAAGCTGGAAAAATGAAATGCTTACAGCCTGGTTTGTGCTTAAGAACACATATTCCAGGAAGTAAAGACAACATATGTTTAAGGGAAAAAGACACAAGACAAAAGCCTACAAGAGCCAATCTAGGTATTTGACCTTATTTTCAAGAAGAATCAAAATCATTTCACATCTTTTTCAAAGTAACACAATCTTGGTTAATTTAGAGCATTAAATTTTCCAATTTGACAATGGAATATAACCTAAAGCCCATCTTGTTTTACTGGTTTTGCAATATTTCTAGATACCTTGCTCATATCAACCCATGAATGGTTCCTTGGTACTCACTGCTGTGGGCTGAAGCTTGGCAACCTTTGAAATCATCATGGCAGAAGTGGCCTGAATCATGAAGCAACTCCCCTGCTTTGTGTACTTGCAGACCCTCTGGTGCAGCTTGAGGCAACAGGTCAAGCAGGACAGCCAAGAGTGAGCTTCCAGAGCACTGCAGGACAGGCAGAAAAAGAGCAAGAATTCAATTTTTTTTTCCCTCTGAGCAGAAAGAAGTAAAAAAGAAAAAACCCATCAAATTCAGCAGTGTGGCAACTACCAGCCCTCCCTCAGATGGGTTTTAAAAATGCTGCTGACAGAGGGAGAGAAACACAGGACTCTTCTTCACATGGATTTCAAAGCACACCTTCAAGCCCCAAGCATAACCACACCCCACAGGTTAGGGATGATGCTCTCACAGAAGGGCACTTCAGTTACCTGGCCTGTTTCTCATCCAAGGCACACAGCAGTGTCTTTAGAAGACTCTCTACTACCTAAGAATGAAAAGATAGAATTATTAAACTGTGGAAGGAATTTTACAGGCAGGTTTCTCATTAGTTAAGGAGATGCTGTGAAAAAGAACTCAGTATCCTTCCATGCCTTCCCCAATGCTTTTTAAATAGACTATAAGACTGCAAGAATTGTTTACTGAATGTCAGAGTCAACACATACCTAGCAGGTATTATTTGTACAAACAAAACCTGCACTTCTTACAGTCTAGGGGTTTACAATTTCTTCTTATTATTTGCCATGTCCAGTTCCTGCTGTTCTCAGACAAATACAAAGTATTTTCACAACAGGCAGGAAAATCTCTCAGCCCAGAAGCACCTTGCCCAGACTTCCAGGAGGCATGCAAAAAAACACAGCTTGCAGCCATCTGAGGATCTCAGGACTAAAATACTTGGCATCAGCAACCAAGAGCAGATCCACATAAGCAGACCCTTCTCTCACCAATGCCCACAACAGTTTTTGCTATGGATACACCCTCTCATCTCCTTTAAGGAGTCTCTCACTTCAGAGCAACTATTTTTGCTTTTAGCTAGATTTGAAGCTCTTTGTGCTCTGACCATCTGACAGCCACACTCTCCCTTCAGTGACAGCCAGTCCTGCTGAGAGGCCCAACTACAGCTCAGTTCCAGCCCTTGCCTCATCACCAGGCAAAGCTGCAGGCAGACAAACCTTAGGACTGGTCCTTGAAGACTCAATGTTCTCTAATCTGTAAAAAACACCTTGTAGAGCAACTAACAAATCACTGCAGAAGTCTTCTATAAATTCAGCAAGGCTCTCCAGGGGCAGCACACAGAACCAGGACTTGACCAACATCTTATCAAATTCCATCAAGTATTTCTTCTCTTTCATTACTTGCAGGAGGGAAGTTGCATTAGTTTCCCTAGAGGCAGAAGACAAAAAACTTCACATTTTCAAGGTACAAAAGGTTAAGAGCTTGTCTAGCCCACAGAGGACTCTGATTTTCTCTCCTATGTTTTCTCCATTTACAGCTGAAGATCAGTAGAAGACCCCAAGACCCAATGATCACAGAAGCAGTATCAAAACTGAGCAGAAGCACTCAAGGAAAATAATCTCCAGGTCCTGCTCAGATTTTGCACAAGGCATATCACCAGCTGCTGTACCTCCTGCCAGGCAGCACTGGCTGTGAAGCTGCTCCACAGCCTGCAGAATGAAGGGCTGTGTCTGAAAGGGAACATACTGCACAGCTTTGTATACTCCATCTCAGCAACCAGTGCCTGCACTCATACATCCCAAATATCCACCACCAACATGCTGCTCTCTCTATTTCTTAAACAAAGAACTTAAAGGAGGAAAAGGAAGAGCTGAAGTAAGGTGATCAGCACCAGTGACAGTGCCAAGGCACTGCCTACAATTAGTAGTTCTAGAAAACTCACACGTGCTTCTTCCTTGTTTCAGCAAATGGAAGCCCTTCCAGCCCTGCCCAGGTGTCCTCTTCTGTCAGCCAGTGGTCCTGCTGCAAAGGAGCAGCAAAGAAATGCAGAAGAGGAAGAACCCACACCCACTGGTTCACCTCATCATCCATGCATCTCTGGCACAAGTTTGTCAGCTGAACTTTCAAGCTTCAAAAGAAAAATACCAAAACAGACACAGTAAAAGGACAGCTTTTGAAAGGACTCAAGCATGTACCTGGAGGGGAAAGCTATATCTCAATCTGGCTATGTACCTTCAAATGACTTCTGGTAATTATTTTAGCTCAATCTTATCCTCATTGAACAGCATATGTGGTAAAAGTTTAAGACTCAAAACTAATCTTACTTGAATCTCTCTGCACAAACCCTACTGATACAGTATTAGCACTTCATGATGCTGTATCTACCATTTCCACATGGGCCCCCCCAGCTCATTTGGGTGACATGCACAGAGCCAGGAATTCTAGGGACAATTCTTGGCCTCCTTGGTTGGGCTGAAGTACTACAAAGGTCTCCAAGAGGAGATTTAATCACTGCAGCTATGCCAGGGAAGAACTAGGAATCTCAGTGCCAGGAAAGGAGTTACAGAACAGGCTAATAAGGAGGCACTGAGAAAAGTCAGTAAAACACATGTGTAATGATGGACAGAGGGGACAAGAACCACTCAAAAAGGGCATTTATATTTAAATGAGTAAACACACCTATTACTGGAGTTTGCAAGTATGAGTTGCAAACAGGTAAGAATCTAGAAAGTGCTTGACAGAAAAGGGTAAAGAAAAACCAATAGTTTTAACTCTACTACTCCAGCAACAGCAACAAGCTGCAATAAGGGAAGTCCTATTTGGGCAAAAGGAAAGTATTTTAGTCACATGCTTTTCTTGGTGTGAAGGAGGGCCCCAGAGAGGTTGTACAACCTTCATCCCTGGAGTTCTTCTGAACTCAGATGGAGCCTTGCCTGGACATTAGCCCTGCTTTGAGCAGGAGGTTGGAACAGAGACCTCCAAAGTTCTCTTCAAATCCCATTTTTTATTTCAACTCTGGCACTACAGAGCTGAATCCCTTGTTGTTTTATCACAGGGTGCTAGGCTCACAGCAAAACCAGCCCAGCTAGCTACCTTGTAAAGACTCCAGTGACATACATACCTAACAACTGCTCCAAAATCCTTTTGGATACGATGAAGCTCATCCTGTACTGCTTGTTGTGACACCTTATCCAAGCACAAGAGGCTGCACAGCCCAGCCAGCTTGCTTTTTGATGTTGGAAGCCCAAGCCTTTCAATGACTGTGAGAATGGTGAGTCCCAGAGCTAGTTTACTTTTTATTACTAAGTCCTTCTGTGACACTTTCCCACCTCCTGGTTCAAAGAAAGGACGAGCCATTTTCTCCATATAACTTAGCAGCAAATCATTCACCTAGGATAGAGGGAAGAAACAAACCAAGCTCAGCATTAGTTCCCCAACAAGTCTTTTCCTTCTGAAACCATTTACTTCTGCCAGTTAGAGCAAGGACACTCCCTAACTCTCTACCCCCCAGGGCACTTTGGTGGTGCCAGGATCTAAGCACACGTGGTACTGACCACCACCAGAACATGAGGTGTGGTACCCCAGTACCTGTGACAGTTTGGTGCCTCTCTCTGTGCTGCCAGTTCCCACCCCTCAGCCACAGCTGCATCTTCCCACACCCCACAGAGCTGGGGAGCACCAAGGGAGCAGGGCAGCTGAACTGCTGAGCTGAGCAGTTGGACACCCAACCACTGCCTCGTGTCACCATCAGACACCACAAGCAGACTCCAGTTTCCCAGTGGCATCAGACTTGGCTGGCAGTTAGTGAAGGGAGAGAGACTTCTGTCCTTACCCACAGCCCCCAAAAGCTACTCTGAGATCACAACAGGGGCCCATAGTACTGTGGTACTTGGTGATACCAAAAATCACCCTCCTGAGGAGCAGCAGTGACAGGAACACCAGTGGGCTCTGCTGAGCTGGGCAGGCCATGCCATCTTGTGGCCTCTCCCCCATGTCACCTGGAGGAGTGGGGCTGTGGAGAGTCAGGAGTGAGCCCTGACACTGGTCTGAAGCACCCCAAAAGGCAACATGACTTTCCAGTCATATTTCATAACTACACCAGGTCAGACATTTTGGACTCCAGAAGCCCTGTCACCATCAGTGATTAGAACTGGACCAGGAAGAGCTAGTCCCAAAAAAAAAACAACCCAAGCAGATTTGACATCAAAGCCAAAGGCAGATAAGTTGGTGACACAGTGACTGGCAGCAAAAATAAAGGGCCAGGCTTAGGAAATACATATCCAGACACAAAACCCACTCAAGCAAGAAGTCACCCCTTGCAGCTCTGCTGCTGACCAGTATGACATACTTGAACAGCACCCAACTGCAAAGCCACGACTGAAGCTCCCACTGCAGCCTGTGGCTGTCACCCCAAAAGGATCCCCACTGATTCAGTCAAACCTGAACTGACTGGAAAAGCAAAACCAACCCAACAAGGTCAAGAGCAAAACTGAAGTTCTGTATTAACAGCTGGATATCTGTTTTCTAGTCCTGGTTAGAAGAGAACAGGTTACCTGCTCTGAGCCAAAGCTGAGCTCTGTCCATGGCATTGCACAGCCATCATACACATGTGGCTCTTTTGTCACAGAGTAGAACTGTGCCAGCTGGCAGAAGAAGTTTCTCAGGTTGTTGGGACTCCAGGTTCCAAGAATGCTGAAGATATTTTCTAACATAATGTTTGCAGCTATTCTCTTCCCTTCCAACACACCTTTTTTATTGCCAGAAATAAACTGCCAAAGGTTTCCCATTAGAGAAGGTGCTGCACACACAATGTCATCATACTGATGCCATTCTAGAGAACACAGACAAGAAGAGAGAACAACCCTTTGAGAAACACCTTTGCACATCCCTTCACCCCTTCAGCTGCTGACAGAAATCCCTCCAGTGACCCACTAAGCTTCCAGCTTCAGACAGTGCTGCCCAATAATGCTTGACTGGCCTAGAGCATTTGGAAGCATAGAGATCACCCCACCAAAAAGCCACCAGTGATCCCAGGACACTGACCCAGCCTGAGCAGCTCACCTCCATTGTTGAGCAACTCTCCTCTTATCCACAGGCAGCGATTCACGTGGTTACTGGATATTGAGTGCTTGTAAATAAATTCATACTGCTCTTTACCAGAGACAACAAAATATTTGTAGGGAATGGTTTTATTAACAATTTCTTTTGCAAGAGTTACAGTCCCTTCGATGAGGAATCCATGTACTCCTAGATCCCTAGGAAACAAAACACAGCAAAGGAAGGTAAAGGACATGTCAGCTGATGTACATGCTTCCTTTTCCATGCAGCACTCCATTTGTACTAGGTATAGTGATTATTCTTTCATGATGGAAGTTCTGGAGTATTTATCTCCACTGTGAAAGCCCTTTGTAGCAATACCCATCTCTGGACACGAAGCATTAATGAAGTACCACATTACATCCTGTTCTCCAGAGCCAAAACCCCCCTGTGCCTCTGTGTAAGGACTTACCTGCTGAAGTTCAGCTCACAAATGTTGTCCTTCCAGTTTTTGTAGTGAGGAATGCTTCCAGCCCTGATGAACACTTTGGCTGCGTCAGGGTTTAGTTTGAAGTCCTTGGATATTATTGCATGGAAATACACTGTAACACCATCACTTCGGCTCACAGAGCTGCAGGAAAGAAAAGCAGAATTCTATTTTCCTTCTAATTTACTTTTTTTTTAATTGTACAAATCACTATAAACCACAAATAAAATCTGAGCCCCTAGTTTACTGGATGCAATACCCATAATTTCTGTCAGCAGCTCACTCAGCCTGATGCTACATAGGCCTAGGGTAAAGCCTAATGCAAAAAGGAGAAATATGCTCCTACAGGCAGCATGAAATGCTCTGGCCACATGTGTCTGGGCCTCTGCAGTGGCAGGCTGACAAAGACCTCACCCAGCAGAGCCCCATGGAACAGCTACACTTCACCCCTCTTCCAGCCCACACACACTAAGCAAAACAAGTTCTACTAATCAGAACAGCTCCTTACACCACTCATCTAAAGACTTACATGCCTGATGCACATGTTCCTCCTAAGAGTAAGAAATGAGGGCAATCTCTTCTCTTATTCATCACATACTCAAGAAGGTTCCAGTACCAAGTGTAGCACATGACCCAGCACATGGCCTCTGCTGCAGCTCCCAGTTTAGCACTGGTTCTTTTGCCTGAGCAGTAGTTTATGCCAGTTTTAAGGCAACTCTATTTCCACATATCCCAGGGAGCTGCAGACCTAATCTTAGTACTTCAATCCCCTGCCTCAGCCTGGAGTCCTCTAGTCCTCCTCACACCAAATCCTGTATGTTGGGGAGCAGCAAGGGTGTTCCCACCTTTCTTTAATCTTATCCACAGGTTTCTGTTTCATTTGTTGCTTTTTGTCCTTGCAACTGTCTGTTGCAGCTGAGGCATTGTCCATTTTAGTAACCTCAGGTCCTTTGGTCCCACTTGCTTTCCCAGTTACTTTGCTCACTTTCTCACTTGGGGTCTCCTTCTTCTGCTTTGTGTCTTTGTTCTGCAATAGGAAGACAGACAATGTCCAGTTAAACAGGAGACCCTGGAAGGACATCTACAGAAGTATCCAACATCTCTTCAGGCACCTGGGAATACCCAGAAACCATAAATCAGCTGGATTCATTCTTCTGGAATGAATCCCTCCCTGACAGAGGCTACTGGTTAAGGAAAATAATGCAGGAGTACCAAGAGGAATCCAACACAAACACATTGGCAAGAAGTCAGGTCAATAAGCCACAGGTCCCCAGAGGATGGAGTGTAAAGGAAATCAAAGATCATCAACAGCAATGTACAGCTTGAGAGGCCTGTGTGTGAGTGGAGCACAGGCACCTACAAGGCAAAAAGGTCTCGTGAGAGCAGATCCAACAGAACTCCCTGGAAGAGCTGGCTGGAGAAGAGACACTCACAGCTCCCAGGGGTAACTGAGCACCCACCCAGTGAGGAGCTGGGCTAGAACCAACACAGGGGAGAAACTCCAAAGAAACACTTGACAGTGCTCCTTGCTTTCACCCCACATCCCCAGCCTCCTCATCTTCAGCTTCACCAACAGCACAAAATCATAGTTACAACAGGAAACTTGGCCCAACACAACCAAATACTCACCTGAGTGTGAGCACTTCCTCCATCCACCTTCTCCTCTGGGGCTGCAGGGCTTGGAGGTGGGGCAGCCACACTACCCATGCTGCTCTGCTTTGGTGGGGCCATCACATCCACGCTCCTGTCACCAACTTCTGCAACTGCTTCTGGCCTTCCAGCTCCTGCTCCCGAGCTCCCCAAGGCTCCACTGCTCCCCAGTGCCCCTCCCCTGTCACCAGCACCCCCTACTGCTGCCTTGCTGCCCCCAGGCTGGGCTTCCTGGGGACTAACAGGGGTGTTGGGCAGTTCTTCACTTTGAGCTGGTGCTGTGCTTACAGGAGGCAGAGAGTCCTGATCCCCAGAGCTGGAAGGGCCCTTCTTGGAGTTTCTCCTCTTCTTTTTCTAGAAGAAAAGAAAGAAGGAGCAACACAAAGTCTGTTTATTCATTGTCAAAGAAAGTCTTTGTCACCTTCTCCATTGCAGCTGGTACCAGCATCTTCCAGCTACACTGGGTTAATGGAGAACCATCAGGAAGAGAAAAGACAAGACCACCCACCACCTACAGCAGGTGAAATGCCAATGACCATTGAGAATTGTGTACTCTGAATATTCTAGACTTTCTGAGCAGGAACAGAGAGCAGCACCAAGCACAGTGCTCACTAACAAGACCAGGCCAACTGCTGAGCCCAGTTCTGGACCAGTCCCCTCTGTGCAGCACAGGTTCTGCCACGGGGAGCTGCCCCCCTCAGCACCACAGCTGCCCCCATGCAGCACTTCCCAGCAGCACAGGCAGCTGCTGCAGGCCAAAGGGATTCGTGGTGTCACAGCCCAGCCTCACTGAGTCAGAGAGAGCAGCAAGTTCCCAGCTCCTGCTGCCCCTCAGCCCAGCAGAGCCTTACCCTCTTCTGTGACTTCTTAGGAGACTCGCCAGCCGCACCCTGAGGCACAGCCTCTGAGCTATCACTTGGAGCTGTTACATCCTCCAGCAGTGATGATGCTTCTTCCTCCTCCTCCTCCTCCTCCTCCTCCTCTTCAACCACTGCTTCAGTGGTGGAAGGAGGCCCACCTGCAGTGCATTCTGGTGTGGTCTCTGAAGTATTGATTAGCATTCCAGTGCTGGCCACCAGTGATCCTCCCTCCTCCTCCTCCCATGTTTCAGTGGAAGGCAGACACCCCTCAGCACCTTCTGCCTTCACCCCTTCTCCTGTGTCAGGGACTGGAGCAAGCTTCACCTTGCTTCCTTCTGCAATGGAGGCAAGGTTCATCATTAAACTAGTCAGGAAAGAAAACAGTTTTCAGCTGGTGGGGAGCCAGCAGGGTCTGCTGCTGACTGAACCCATCAACTGAACACACAGGAGGCACTTTGCTGTTCCCTGCTCAACAGCTACCACTAGCAATGACACCATCCTCACTAGCACAGCCTCCCCCCTCTCCAAGGCTGCTGCAGTCAGCAGCAGAACAACTAAGAAACCACTGTACTGAGGTTCTTATCTATCCCTATCCTGCCACCAGCTGAAGCAGCAGGTGCTGGGAACAACTGCGGGTCAGCACCCAGTGAGAGTATGCTGGGTACCCAGTGCAGCTGGGTGCTGGGTCTGGCAAAGCCTGGGAAACTCCCTTTTTATTGTCCACAGTTTTATCTGGTGCTGAGAGCCTGTGAAAAGGCCACTCAGACCCGAGTCAGGCAACAGAGCCAACCTCCACCTTCTGCTGCCCTGTTTCACAGGCTCTTCAGAGTTACTTCTCCCCCAGCTGTGAGATAAAAAAAACTTTTAACCTTCTTGAGTGGAGAACAACCAACACCAAGAGACACTGATTTCCTCTGGGTCTTTCTGGGAGAAGGAGCACAAAAATCCTGAATGTGAAGCTAGCTCCCAGCCCCTCTGACTGTTACAGCCCAAAGGCTGCACCATGCTAATGACACTTCACAATATTGTTTCACACCCAGTTTACGTTTTCTGAGGAGTTTCAGCTCCCATTCTGATTTAGTGCATTCCTTTAGGGTCCTAATTCCTCATATCAACAAACCCAAAGCAATTCTGGTGGCCCAGGTGATTCTGCTCCCAGGCAAATACAGGATTAGGAATTATTTCTCTCTGTGTAACTGCATTAATTGTGTACTTGGTTCTGCTACTGTTCAAAGAGGCAGAATCAGCATGTTGTCAAAGAGAAATTCAGGAAGTGAACTCTAAACCTACCAATAAGCTGAAGATAGGAAATTCTGGTTCAGGAAAGACTTGATCAGTCTTTGTAGTACAGCACTGCATAAATAGCACCAGCTCAATGGCAGAACAGTAACTAGCTCAACACTGCAAATCTGGACGCAGAGAATATGTGGGAGGTGTCAGTGCCCGACTGGCCTCTCTCGCTGTGCCCCACCGGGCATGACAAGGTGAGGAACACTCCAGCTCCGGCCAGTAACGCCCCCGGCCCCGCGCATCCCGCCCCGTCCTACCTGAGTCCTCCTGCCC